GTTCCTTCTACTTCTTCCTAAATCTCTTTTTCAATACAATTTATCCAGTCTCTGTTTCTCTTAACCATCTCCTTCTGATCATATAGTATTCATATTTTAAAAATATTGCCAAATGCACTTAAGAGATGGAGGACTGAACCTACCAGCTAAAGAAAAGTACAAAAAGAGGGGAGGGCGACAAAATGTCAAGAGGCAACTCTTTGATGATGAGATAATTCTCCAACTTGTGCCATAGAGGGAGAATTCTAGGATTCCTCTTGAGATGTTGTTCTTCAACAAGAAACCTATAGCAAAAAGTTCTAACTATTGCAAGAGTTAATGATGACTGCTAATCATGTATGTCAGCCCCTCCATCCAATTCATGTCTCTAAGAAGAGGAAACAGCGGGTCTAAAATGTAATGGTGCTGTTTTTTAATGTTTGGCAAAGAAAAACAAGTCCTACAAAAATCACATTGTCAAGCAAAAATGTAAAACTTTGATGTGAGCTACATAATCCTACTCTATTTTGTGAGGAAGGAAACCATTTTTCTTAGGTCTGATGCACTAGCACAAAGCAGGACCTATTGCTGCGATAATCTCCTTGCTCTGATTCTTGGCAGTAAGCCACAAAGGGGCAGCTTGTGTTATATTAATAGAATAAGTCTCCCACATATGGTGAAACGCCATTAGTGGAGAGAGTACTTCAGTAAAATCAATCACCACTGACCCAGCGGCAATATAAAGTGACACAGTATGAAACTAGGGGGGTTTCTGAGCTGTTGCAGCACTGTAATGTAGACACCTTCTACATTGAAGGGATTCATTCCGTTGAAGTAGATAATGCACCTCTCCAAGAGGCAATAAGTAGGTCAATGAATGAATTATTCTGTCAGCCTAGCTTTATCTACAGTGGTTGGTAGGTCCACCTAACTACACCCCAGAGGGCATGGCATTTTTTTACAGCCTTGAGCAATATAGTTAGTTTGACCTTGGTTTTAGGTGTAGACCAGACCTAAGTAGCACTGCAGAGTATACTACCTATTATCCAAATAGCATGGGGACATGGGTTTTATTTATTTAGATAATTGGGAGCTCATATAATTGAGAGGTCAGGCACAACAGTGCAGGAGCCCTCTTGGTTGTGCTGTTACAGCCCTGCTCACTCCCATAACAGTGGGGGGCTACAGATGGCTCCTTGCATTGCCACTTGCAAAGTTAGGTTAGGTTTGGTATTATTCCTTATGTTTAAACTATTAATTCGGATATTAAAATGCATTTAATCAAGTAAACGTGTAACTGCTCTATATTTCAGCAGCTATATGGTTACACGTGGTGAAGATAGGTGGCTCCGGCTTCCTGCTTGCCCCCTGCAGTTCTTACTTGCCCCCCGTGCTACTGCCTCTGATACGGGGACATGGGAGGGAACAGGCAGCTCCCCAGACATACCGGGGGGTCGGCGTGTAATCGTGAAGGTTAACTAATGAGCCCAGGCTCATTGATTAACCAAGTATACAGTTACACTTTGACATCTCTATTGGGAACACACAAACAGAAATTAAGCTTTGAGCCTCCTGGGGTAGTTAAAGATAATTTAATTTAGTGAAGGACTGTAAATGATAAAATTAGTTTTTTATATACAGGCAGTCCCCGGGTTACGTACAAGATAGGGACTGTAGGTTTGTTCTTATGTTGAATCTGTATGTAAGTTGGAACTGGTGTCCAGATTCAGCCGCTGCTGAAACTGACCAGCGGCTGACTACAGGAA